TACGTATTTTTATAGTAACTTCTTTTAAAATAACTTTTTTACTTTAATTTTCTTCATAGTTCCAAAGGGTAACCTACTACTTCGGATCAAATATAATTTTGAATCGTCCATGGGGAAACATTCGTTATGCTATCAGAAAAGTAATTGTTAGCTTATATTATAAAAAATTAAGTGAAAAATATTTTAAAATTATATTATTTTAATTAATTTTTATTGAAAATAATTAAAACATTTTAAAATTTAAAACATGAGGTTTTTTTTATTTTTTTAATATTTTATTAAAATGATTTAATTTTAGGTATTTTTTATTTAAGTTTTTATAATACAGACTTATTCTTATTAATTTCTTATGTTATCATTATTATTATTACTCTTTTTATCTCAAAACAACTATATTATTTGATTTTGAATTTGTTTTAAATTAATTGTCATTTTTTTTATTCTTTATCATAGAAAAAAACAATTTTTTTGCTTTAACCCTATTATTATCTATTTATTTTAACTAATTATTCTATTACCAAAAATCTCACTTTATCTTTTAGCTTTTTCTTAAAAATAATATAAATAAATACATAAATTGACCCATATTCTTAATTTAGATAAAAAGTTAACAAAACAACAGTTATTTTAAAATGAAAGAAGTATTATTTTTGAATTAATATCTATTTACACACAATTTTTACAAATATTAATTACACAAAATTTTAATTATTTATTTCTCTATTATAAATAATTGAGATTTATTTACTTTTTATTTTATTTTAAAAAATATTTATTTTTTTATCAAAAATTAATAAAAAAATCTTAATTGTTTATTATAAAAAAATAAATAATTAGAATTTTATATAAATTATATCAGTAAATATTATGTATCAACAAATACTAACTCTTGATGCAGCTTTTGTCTTTTTGTTCAAAAGTGATTAGCATTTTTTTTTTTTTAAACAGATACCATGGTTTTCTGCCGGCAGCAGCTGACCCACCAAGACTCCGTCACCACCACGAAATGCAATAGTCTGAGTGAGGGGATAAGATCTTCATAGAGAAACAATAAATTGTGATCCCAATAAGTGGATCTTTTGAGGCAGCGCTGCTCAATGGCCTTTCCTATCTCCCCAAGGCCCTAGTAAGGTCACTTTCATTTACCCAAAAAAAAAATAATAATAATAAAAAGCATGACCATTTTCTACCTTTTTCAAATTTTAATTAATTGGAAAATTCCCCAGGGTAACCTTTCAACTTGTAAATTTATGTGTTTTTGGGATGCTTAGATTGATTATTTTGATATAATTGATAATTAATAGCCAATTAATAATTATTATTATTTATAATTTAAAATGTTTGAACTGTTCAATTAGAACTAATAGCTAATAAATGTTCTTCTTCTAAGTAACTCTTGAATGGTATCAGCCACTAAACTATACAAATTATTAGGAATCAGGACCAAAAAATTGTGCGAGGCAGATATAAGACATGTTCACATCAACTAGCTATTTTGTTTTTACCTCATTAGTGCCATATAAGTTTGTATTCTCATCAAACGTGACGACTTGATAAGGTAGATCTCACCATGCTAAAATTCACTTCTTAATAATCATAAATATTATTTCAAATTATTACTTAAAATAAAATTACGAAATAATAAATTATAAAATGAGTGGTATAAAAATAATTTTGGTTAACTATTACCTCCATTGACATTAAAAGAAAAAAGAACCAAATTATATATTTTTCCTTTGTAGAACTTGGCAATGTTTGTTCCAGTGTGCCCTTTAATTTCTAGCAATCAAACCAATTCTTATTCTAATTTCTTGGGCTAATGCATTGCCTCATCAACAAATTTAGCGATTCTTGGGTTAATACTGTAATAAGAGAGAAAGTAACTTGGATAAAAGTAGAAATCACATAGAAAGCCCTTACTATATAACATTGAGTATGCAATTAGGTTAGGGTTTGCTAATTAAGAAGAAGATTTGCTTTTTGCAATAAATCTAACAATTTTTCAATTCAGATATTAAGTTGTCATGATAACTAATATAAGTATTGTATGGTTTTTGTCTTTAACATATCACACACATCTATTCTTAATTAGTTTGAATTCTGACGTCAAATCCACCTATTTTCTCATAAGCAATGATTTTTGAAATCAAATTTTGAACGAAAATTTGGAATAAAATTTTTTCAACTATTAACCATGTAGAGTTATATAGGACTAACATCATGATCAAAGATTATGATAAATTTGTTTTAGATTTTGATTTTAAAAATTGGTCATAACTATCATTATCCGTATCCCATTGTTAATGAGGCAAAGCCAAATGGTTGGTTAACATGCATGTGACTCCTGTGCATTTCCATCGTTTAATTCGTGTAGTTTAGGGATAGATATCATTAAAATTTTACTTAAAGGGTTAAACTCATAGATTTTATAAGTAACAGGGCCATTATGAAGTTTTGCCTTATTAATTTATGTTTCTTTATAGTCTTTATATTTTTATATTATTATAACGACCAATAGACGCCATTTATTTAAACCATTAAAAAATAAGTTGATGGGAATTGATTATTATTATTATTTTTTTTTACAAGAGAAATTATATGTTAAATTAATGTTTGTTCGGGGAAAGTCAAATTTAGAATTCAACATATAAACCAAATTGGTTTTCACCTATTTCTCATTTTGGAAAAGAATTACAGCCACATGAGAATGCATGGAAATTGATTCACTTTATCCTAATAAGCATCCTATACCACAAAATTTCTCCTCAAATTCCAACCATATATACTTATATTTTATTTGGGTAAATAAATTGATTAACTCTAACCCAATAAACATCACTTATCAAATTCCTCTACAACTTCTAACCATATATTTTATTTGAGTAGAAAAAATTTTATAAACTCGATCAAACCTTGATGATCATTCTAAAAAATGTTCTTGACCTTTTTTTTCTTCCAATTGTACGTACCCAAAACTCCTAATGCCATTGCTTAAGTTTATAGATCAATTTTAAAAAAATAATTTTTTATACCAATATGAGAATAAATCAATAATTAATAGGAATTATTGAGCATCATTCTAAAAAAATGTTCCTCACCTTTATTTTCTTCCAATTGTACCCTAAACTCCTAATACCATTGTTGAAGTTTTTAGATCAGTTTAAAAGAAAACAATTTTTTTATACCAAGAAGAGACTAAATCAATAAATAATAAGAATTTATGTAATGTATTTTAGATTATATGTTAAAAATATAGTTTATTTTATAAATTTATTAACGTGTTTTTAATAAAATAAATAAAAAATAATTTTTTAAAAATATTTTAATAAATTTATAAAATAAATTATATTTTTAATATACAATTTCCTGTATAATTTTTTTTAAATTAATATTCTAAACGTTTAAATTTAAATTAACCACGAAGGCAAGAAAAAATTGTAAAATACTACGTCACCCTCTGCCAACGCATAATAGACACTTATACCTACCGACCAGCTCAGCAACAGTTACAGATCCTTCCAATGTAATATCTCAACTAACCGTCTCTTCATCCCTTTCTCAGGTACCTGTGCTCCCCCAACATCACTTCTCCAATCCAAAAATAGAAAGACATGGCACAAGAGGAGCCCAAGAAGATAGAAACCGAAACTTCGGTGGAGCCTCCACCTGCTCCGGCACCTGAATCCACGGAACCTCCCAAAGATGTGGCGGAGGAGAAATTAGTGGTGATCCCACCTCCTCTTTCTCCTCTTGAAGAAAAGCCCGAGGAGCGTCAGCCTCTAGCTGTAGTTGAAAGTAATATTCCTAATTCTCGTTTTCCATTTTTTTCTTTCCTTTTTAGTTGTGTGGACTTCGTTTTCTGATTACGTGCCTTGTTGTGATGGCAGAGGTGCCGGAGGTGGCTGAGGGGAAAGTCGGAGAGGGTTCTGTAAATCGAGGTAAATTTCTTGCACCCAATTCTAGTTTACATGTTTGAAGAACAGAGGATGACGTGAACTTGTTGAATTAAACTGATTCCCTATTTCTAAGCAGATGCTGTGCTCGCAAGAGTCGAAACAGAGAAGAGAATTTCACTAATCAAAGCTTGGGAAGAGAGTGAAAAATCAAAGGCTGAGAACAAGTAAAGAGCTTTTTTCACTTGGTTTTTGTTCACTAAATCAATCATTAATTATTTTGTCTTTGCTTGGTTGTCTTGATTACTGTTTTAATCACTACTAATAGACAAAATCATGTTTGAAAAGATTAGGTATGACTTTTGGCTTTGTAAATTCAGTTGAGATTTTATGCTTATTAAATTTAAAACGCTACTGTTTTGCAGGGCTCAGAGAAAACTTTCTGCCGTTGGGGCTTGGGAGAATAGCAAGAAAGCAGCCCTGGAGGCTGAGCAGAAGAAGATTGAGGTAGTAAATCCATTTTCTGTAACAACAGTAGTAATGAACATTCAGTATTTCGTGATTTCATTTGTAACATCCAGTCGACTTTTATGTTGAGCAGGAACAATTGGAGAAGAAGAAAGCTGAATATGTGGAGAAAATGAAGAACAAGGTTGCCTTAATCCATAAGGCAGCAGAAGAAAAGAGGGCAATAATTGAAGCACAGCGTGGGGAGGAACTTCTCAAGGCAGAGGAGGCTGCTGCAAAGTACCGTGCCACTGGAACTGCCCCGAAGAAGATATTTGGTTGCTTCTAGAAGACTGATATTTCTCTTCTGATTATAATTAAAGCTGAATTGTGTGTATTTGTATACTGAAAGGTCAATTTGTTTATTTATACAGTGTTGCCTTGTTATAATGTTGTGAAGGGGAAGCATTTGTCCCCGATCATTGTTGGGTGTGCAATTGTGCATATGTAAGTATATGTGTGTGTATATATATATATATATATATATGTATATACCATCTGGAGAAAAGATTAGTTTTGGAATTTGTAAGAAATAAGTTTGATGTAATGCTCAAGATTTGTTACATGTGTTTCACCTTTAAAAGACTACAATATGATGTACCAGTTAATTTTATTTACCTTTTATCTTGTCAAGGATCAGATATAACTTCTGCTTTAGTGCTGCGTCGGAACCTATGACTTCATTAGAGATGAAAGAATGTAAATCAAACTGGTCTGCAGTTATGCCCTCTTTGATGGCTCGTGTTGGGTTGTCATAGACTCATAGCTTCACTCATCATGGGTTATGAATGATCCATATACGCTGCTGAATTCAAATTTTCAGATATGCATACTGGGGAATCGGAGATGAGGCTTTCACGTTCTTCCTCATCTTTTTACAGTTATCTTAGCAATGTCACAGATTCGTTCCCAACTTCAGAATTTCCATGGCTATTTTCTTGATGTGTATTGCCATCGAGTCATCTTCTTCATGAGTCCATGCTCATTTCTTCACATCATTGGCATTTTAGTACTGAGATCAGCTTTAACAATCATCAAATGGTGATAAAATTTAAGATGAATTAAAGCTATATTTAGATTGTATTAAGGTAATTATCTTGACTCAAAAGGGAAGGAAATAAAGTACCGTGGATAAAGACATGGCTTGAGAAAATGAGGAAATTTGCTTAGAAATGGCAAAGAAAGCGACAACAACTTAGTCTTGTCTTAGAACCTCAAAGACATGGCGCCCTCAAGCAAATAAGGCTTTCAAGGACCTACCACCGGCGAAGCTGTTCTTCGTCGTATGGCATTAAGATATGTGGATAAAGGACGAGTGAAAGTAACCTCCTCCAATGTCACATTGATAAATGATATTGCAACTACAACATATTATCATAAATAGCGTTAACTATAGTTTTTTTTTTTTTTCTTTAATAGTAGTCAAGTAGTATTATGAGTTAATTTTCAAATATTATTATTTTAAATTATTTTCTTAATCCAATCAAAGGTAAATCATTTATTTATGCAATGTGATTCATATGCATATTATTATTCATGGTATATATACTTTTTTGCATTAATTCATTGAATGAATTGTTCCAAGATTAGGGGCAATGTATGAGAATTTCCATTTGTGCCTAAAGCAAGGGAGATTGCAAACGCTAATATATACCAGGACACTATATTATCTTTACTTGACTATTTGAGTTGATTTGTGTAATTATGTATGTATTATGGCTAAAATATAATTTTTCCACTTGCAAAATTTGGAGACCTTCAAAGGGCTGAGTGCAGGTTGGATGGAGTTTATGTGACAAATTGACAATGATAATTTGTTGCAAGAAGAGTAAATGTAAGTGGGCTGTAGGCCTGTAACTTACGGGCCACCCAAACATTACTGGAACTAGAAACGCTTGAAGGTAAAGAAGTCCATTTCATGGGTTAGGCTTGAGTTGGCTTGGTTGGGTTTGTTTAACCCGGTCTTTTATAAGTCTTGTAGGATACCAGGATGCTTCATCCAAATTTTCATTATAGAAAAAGAAAAAGTTGCTTCATCCAAATTGTCCCCTCCTTAAATAAAGATCTTAAAAGAAAAAGAAAAAGATTGAACTGCCCCCATTGAGACTTCAACCATGAAACTTGCGTTATAAGATAACATTTATATCAATGAATTTAATTTTAAACTTCTTTATATATTTCATAGGCCTTTTACTATAAAGCATTAATTAAAAATACACCACAATTTGTTTCATCCATGACAAGAGAAATTTATATTTCAAGTTCAAGAAAATAATTGAGAAACAGTTTTTTTTATACAATTTTTTCATACAATTTTACATATCATTTAATAATTAATATTTTTCACTCTAATTATGATATTATATGTATCTAATCATTTAATAATATATAAAAATCATATAAAAATGCTGTACAAAAAAGTTATTTCCATATATCATTACCCCAAGTTCAAGCATTATTTGGCCATTGCCTTGCCACCCCTTTCGCTTCTTTTTCATTTCTTCATCCAAAAGGAATAACTTCGTCTCCAAGTTGCCTCACCCACTGTTTTTCCCCACCAAAGGTTTTTCTCCCCTGAACCTTTATATAGCAATAAAGAACAAGGCAGAGAGAGGGATAACATCTCTACATTTCCTTAAATATGGTAAAGCTAACTATAATTGGAAGGTTGAGAGATAGGCTGCCCCTTGCGCAGGTTCCCAGGTACCAGAATGAAGAAAATGAAAGTTTTTCATATTACAAACATCAAGGAGAATTCATTCTCAAAGAAATCTCTAGAGGAGCCCTATCACTTTCTAGGATGACCATTCGCCTTGATCATCATTCCTTCGAGTATCTTTTTCATCTTAATTTCCTCCTCCTTTATTTCTTTCCTTTTCTTTTCTTTTTTGTTTAATTTCTTGTGTGTTTAATCCAAAATGAGTGTTAATTTGTTAGTTTGTATCTTTTTGACATTAATTATATAAGCTACTTGGTTGAGAATGGAATCTGCTACATAACATTGTGCGATTCTTCCTATCCAAGAAAACTAGCTTTCCATTATTTGCAGGATCTGCAAAAGGAGTTTGACAAGTTTGATATTAGTCTCCTAGACAAAATTACAAGACCTTACAGCTTTGTTAAGTTTGGTAATCTCCCTAATTCAGAATCATATATATATATTCCTTAATTAAAAAAAAAAAAAAAAAAGGCCCAAAATGATCAAGTTTGCGTGAGAAAGTTAGTACACTTAAAGCCTTGTATAGTATTAATTTGATTTCAAAGTGCCAAATAGAAACATAAGCTTGACATCTTTGTCTTCATTTTTTGTTGTGTGTGTGTAATGTAATAACATGAAAATAGCATGTTCTGGCTTGCGTGCAGATAGTGTCATTGGCAATATTAGAAAGCAATATATGGACACAAGAACACAAACCAATCTATCAAAACTGAATGCTTGTCGTCAACAAGATCTTGATATAATCACTGAAAACATGTCTCAGATTATAGAAAGAAGAAGAAATTCCGGTAATTCTATGTGCCTTTTGTCTGTGCAGTTGTAGCTTAATACTTAAGTCCTTCAACAAGAAAAATGATGAAGTCCAGACAACGTTTTCTTCCGTGGTGCAGAAATATTTGAGAGAGTTGCAACTAACTCTCAGCCTCTTTCCCCTTCAATATGGTGCTCCCCTCGTCTTGAGGTATGATCAGTGGAAACAATGTCTGGTATTTTGTTTGTTGATATGCACAAAAGAAGCGTTATTTCTTCATTTCCTCTTAGTTCAATTTTACTGCAAAGTTCTTAACATTTTAGTTCACAGGCGATTGCTTTGATATGGACACCTATTACAGTCATAGCTGCTGTTGCTGCTGTTCTTTTATGGACCAGCTATTTCCTCACAGATGACTTCTTCATTTCAGCTCAATAAAAATTGAGGTACAAAGGAAACATGATTAAAAAAATGGCTTGATACTTGGATTGTGAGAGTTGGAGCTTGTAATAATTGTATTCAAACAATCATACTGTATTGCAATTGAAATCAAAGACCATATTTGCATTGCTTTCTCTTCTCTTATTCAATTCCAAGCGATTTTAGAACCACCAATGACATGAAATTACCTAAATGACAGGATGAAGCTTGAGGGTTTCTGTATTCTATACATGTTTAAGGTTGCTGGAAGACCAAATTGCATAGATGACAGAGGAAATGTGCACAATAATATGTTAGGTAGATTGTAAATTAATAGAAAAAAGGGCCAAAGGATTGACTTTGGCGTGAATTATTGTACTTTCTGAGACTATTCAGAAACACAACCTTTCCAAGCCTTAAGCAAATAGCATATCAGAAATGGTTAAATGTGAGGTAGGTTAAGCTTGGCTCCTTCCTCAAACATAAGCCTGGCAGATGACGTCATTGCTGGCATTTTTGTTTTCTTCCTAAGTATTGAATTAATCAGGAAGTCAATGGAACCGAAATTTTCTGGATGCCAACAAAGTTTTGGCTGCTCTTGAATAATTGTACCGGTATGTATATAATATAAGGATGCTGCTGAACCTAGATGAGTTGTTCAGAATTAAAAATGGTAGCAACAAACCAGATAAGAGAATGTAGAATCTCAGCCATATCATTCTCCGTATTTTTTTCACTATTTAATTCTCTTTTGTAACCAAACAAATCTATACCGATCCTTTTGGACTCCTTTTTTGGTATATTAGAGAGTTACCTGCTTGGCATTACAGAGGATTAAATCTCTCATCTTAACCCCAAATTTAACCCCAAATGAAGGTTTTTAATTTATCGGGTACCAACTCAATCAAGATCTTGTTAGTCTTTCTGGACTTATTTATTGTGAGTGTTTGAAAGCTAAAACAAATTGATGACATTAGAAGATAAAAACATTAATCTAAAACAAATGCAAATGAGGGTGCTTCAAAGACTGATATGTGGAAGAACAACCACTAATTAAACTTCGCAGCCTGGAAAATAAGGGAAAGTAGCCTATTTCAGCTTACTGATATTTCCTTCTTTGACAAGAACCAGTATGCCGGTATGCCTTTATTCCATAGAATAATTAGAAATTATTCTTCCTTGAATAATGCTGCGTAGGAAACATGTCCTTACATGTACATTACATCACTGTTCATACCAAAATCAATGTAAATTTCCTCCCCAGAAACAGAACCTGAAAAGCCAATATCGGAAATTTGGTCTTCAAACTTGGACTGTGAGCTAAACACATCATGCAACGATCCACTGCTTAATCCTCCGTGAATTTCACCATTAAATGCTGCCTCATTCAGTAGATATCCATGCATCAAGGAGTCTTGGAAGCAATGTGAGACAGGCTCCGTTTTACATGAATTTGCAAACCCCCCAACTTGAACATGATCTGTTGATAGCCATTCTGCAAAGAAAAGCCTTGGCAAGGAGCTTCCCTGAGGCTCTTTAGGGAAGTTGGGAAACTGTGTAACAAATTGATCGGTATCTGTTAATTGTTTTTCCGGTAGTTGCATAGATTCGTAACAAGGAAATTGGCTTGTTTGATTTTGGGGAGAAGGGATGGAATCTGTATTTTCTGAGCTTGATGTGGTACATGGAGTTTTGGTATGAACTTCTGAATCTTCAACTTTGGCTACTTTTTTCTTCAGATAGGAATGCCAGTGATTCTTTATTTCATTATCTGTTCTTCCAGGCAAATGTTGTGCAATCTGAGACCACCTATTCATGAATATAGAAAAAAAAAATCAAAGGAATCAGCATTTTTCCTTTTGGTTTTGATCACAACTTTATAAAATTCAGAATTAATTAGAATTCTAAAATCAAAATTTATATGGTTTGAGTCAGTGGAGGTAGCTGCAGATCAACAAATCCCAAATATACTATATAGCCCTCTCATTTATCCGTCTCAAAGTTCAAACTTAGTTTGGAGTTTGAAGTTCTCACAAGTAAACACTTGGCAAGTGGCAAATGGCTCAAAGATATATATATATATATTTGAAAAAGGGATTTTTCTTCTTGGCTTACTTGTTTCCTAACATATTATGAAGGGTAACGATTGTTTCTTCTTCTTGTACGGAAAACATTCCTCTCTTTAATCCTGGCCTCAAGTAATTAATCCATCTTAATCTGCAGCTCTTCCCATTCCTCTGCAAGCCTGCATGTGAAAAGGGTGAAAACTATTGAGGTTACTTTAGTCATTTTAGAGTGGTCCCAGTTTTCCTTTTATGCATTTTCTGAAATGTGAATCAGTCATTTTTCCTTGAATATCTAAAGATTTTTTCATAATTTCTTTTTATTGTCGGTTTGGACTGAAGCCAAAATAATGCCTAAAATTTGGTGTTCTGCTTAGGTGGGCAACCCAAATATAAAATTCAAGATGTTCTTAACATATGGAGATGAAGAATCTTCATCATTTGAGCGTTTTCATACTGGGAAACATAATTTAGAAATATTTGTAAAAGAAGTTAAAAAAAAATAATAATCAAACGGTTCAAAATTCGAAATATGCATTTTCTTTCATAATTTCATTGGTAAAACTGTGAAGTTGACCTTAATGCCATTTTGCCACTACTTTTTAATCATAGTTTTTGTTCAAAGTACATTAATAGAAATGAAAATTACAAATAATTTAAATAATTCAGTAGTTACCTTCTTTTGACAATAAAAGTAAAAAGTACTGAGTTCAAGTGTGTAATATGTAGTTAAAATGAATTAAAGAATGAAAAATAGTTGTTTTTTATTGTGTAGCCCAAAATTTATTTAAAAAAAAAAAGAAAAGGCAAATGCAAACCCAAATTATAGTTTCATATAGTAACTTCCAAAACAAAAAGAAAGAAAAATCCCTGATTCAGAGGTTAAGTTTTAAGAATTTAAATCCCTACAATAGCTAAACACTAACTTTCTTCACTGATAAAATCATAAGGACAAATTTGGAAAACGGTATTTAGAATGCAATTTCATATGAAAAAAAAAAATCCATTTATTCATCCCATTTGGTGCTTTTAAGTCAAAAGGGCATTGGAGCATGTGTTGCAATTGGAAAAAAGAGGAGGAGAAATGAACTAACCTGCATTTATGGGAACGGAACTCCAGCAGCCATGGCCATGTCTGAGAACATAGTTTCTGAGCTTCTGGTCTTCTTCAGGTGACCATAAGCCTTTTCTATGCTTAGGCCTTGGCTTGTCAGATGACTTGCAACCCATTTTCCTGAGGAATTAATTCTGCCTTCAAGCCTTAATTAGCTTGTGAAAGCTTGAGAGCCAAGACTTATGAAGAGAGAGATACAGAGAGTCTATGAAATGAGGTAATGCAGAAGGAGAGCAATAAATAGATGACTAGAAAATTAAGGTTTAAAATATAAAGCTGAGATTAGTTGTAAGTATGATAACTTAAAAAAGAAAAGGGAAAAAAAATAATAATCAAGTAGGCATCAGCTTGTATCTTTGTCCAGGGAAGACCACCTTAGCTTTTTCTTTATCTTTTTTCTTTTTCTTTACAATTTTGCCGAGTAGAAGTAAGAATAAATATGGAAATCTCAATGTTATCCTGTCCTGCTTTAAATCCATGCTTCTTCTGTAATTGGCTTTCATTTAACGGGTCTTTATTGAAGGACTAGATTCAATAAACAAAGAAATTAGTTGAGTTATATACCAACTAATTTCAAAATACAGTCATGACGCCACTCCTCCAATGGTAGGGGTTGAGGACCTTGAGGTCCCTGGGTATGAATCTTATGTATGTGTGTATATATACATATATTAAATTATTATTTTTTCTCAAAATAATTGTAATTTTTAATTTTAATTTATTTTGTATTTTTTTATATTTTTATGATAAATAAATATTTTTTTATTTTAATCCTTTTATTATTTATTTACTTTGATAAATTATTTTATAACAAAAAGTCTACCTTTATCTTTTATTTATTTTTTAAAGATACTAAAAGTAAATACATAAATTATTTTTAAATCTTTAATTTTGAGAAAAAAAATTAAAAAACAATAGTTATTTTAAAAGTACATGTAATATTATTGTAAAAAAATTAAAACAAAAATGATACTCCTTCCTTCTTAGAATAATAGAATTTTTTTGATTTAAAATTTATCTTACAATAATAGTCATTTTTTATATTTTAAGAAAGATAAATATTTTTTTACATATTTCAACCTTATCATTATCTTTTGATTTTAATTATACATTTTATTATTAAAAATCACTTTATTTTTATTTTTTTACAATAACATTAATAAAAATTTAAATTATCCACAAATCTTTAAATTAAGAATAATAATAAAAAAAAAAAAAAACCTATTATCCTAAAACAGAACGAGTGCTACAACATCTGTACACACCCTTAGCCATAAAGAATGCATTAAAAATGGTTGGTCAAACTTAGATGGAATTTGGTAACAGCGTTAACTTCTTTTTTCCCACCTATGTGGCACCCCACATGACTTTATTGTAATGTGGCGACGAGTGAGTCTACTAAAAACCTTTTAGATGAGTACAGTAGGATATAAGACCAACTTATTTTAAAATTTAAATTTAAATCTCGAATTTACTTAAACTCTTAGCTGCATAAAGGCCTTTTAAAGATAATTACACTTTTATATATATATAAGAGTTAACTGTTTAGTAATATAAAAATTTTAAATTTTATTTTTAATTTTAAATTAAAAATTTTAAATTAATAAATATCAATTTGATTAAATTCTTATTTATACACTTATACCATTTATAATTAAAATTATACTTCTTTTAGTTAGATTTAATTTTCTTACTTCTAAATAGGAATGGTCTGATTTAATTATCTCACTTTTTATTTTAATAACATATTAAATACTAATATTTCAATTTTATTCTTATCTCAAAAGAGATAAAGATGTATCAGGATTTTTTTTAATTAATTATAAAAATAAGAAAATAAGTCCTAAAATATAATAATTAAATTTTTTATAATTATAAATAAATAAAATAAAACAACTAAATTTAAACAGAAAAAATAATGAACTAATACGCATTATATTTTATTTTTTTAATGGCAACTAAAGGACTAGCCACTCCAGGACCCCCTAATAGCTAACAACGAAAGAGAAGAAAGGAGTTAACGGAATTATATAATTCTCAAATTTGCATCTAACTTTTACAAATGACAAGTTAACAATGAGCCACAAGCTCGTTGGTGGACAAAACATCAACTCTTCATGAAAGTATTAATATAATTCAATGCAGAACTCCACGTAAATTAGTGTCGGTGATGATTCATTACAAATTGGCACTTAATTATTGTATCTTTGCATTAACAATTTAACATGATTATCACATGATATTGATTCTGTCAACCCAATATAATACAAGCGATGGAACCAGCATATGGAAATGGGGGCAACTGCCCCCCTAAACTTTTTAAAAATGTCAAATAAGATTTTTCAATTTTTTAGAGTTTTACATGCAATTTTGGAATAGTTATGACATTTTATGTAGATTTGATTAACTAGGAATTGAGATTTTTAAAGATCTAACTCATTAAGTGCAAGGCAAACTTTATTTTTTTTTTTACTTAATGGCTACAAATTTGGGTTTTCTCTGGCATTTCTTTCTGTTTTTTTCTTAATTAGTATTTTATCTAATGATTTAATGTTTTCTCTGGTGTTAGATTGTGTTTTTGCCTTTCACAATTAGGTTTATAATGATGTTCTCTATGCTAAATCAATTTAACGTAGATTTTAGTTTCTAAATGAAGCATTCTAGTGTTTTTCAATCAATTTCCAATTGACTTTTGCATGGGGACTTGTGGTTCTTGCTATATATATCTTATTTTAATTAAAAATAAAAGGATTTATTTATTTGAAAATTTTAAAATTTTACTACTATTTAGGAGAATTGATTTATTCTTTTTTAAGAAAAAGAGAAGAAAATTCAAAAAGAAAATGAATTAGTGCCGTAAACAAACTTAAGAATCTAATACAAAATAAGAAATTTGGTCCCCATAACATAATTTCCTAACCCCATCCCTGCACACACACACACATGAAAATTAACATTAGATGCAATGGAA